TATAAGCCATTTCAGTATGATACATTCATTACCGGACACCCTGTATAACTATAAAGTTATAAGTTGCGCTTCAGTTCGACCACAGTTGGCTTCATCATCATCATCAGCTTTCACGCATCCACTGGGACATAAGTCTCCCCCTGAGCACGCTGCCTAGCGCCTGCCCCGCGCCGCCCGCTCTGTCCGCAACGCATTCTCCACTTGACTTCGTCAGTAGTAATATAATGGCAACGAGATTTTTAAAAGTTAAACGTCAAAATCGCCGAATTGTCAGTGTTTGATGTCTTTGTCTGTCAGTGTCAATGTCAAATCAAGTGGTTCAACGACCTGGCTGTTTTGTTTTACATTCTCAACTGAGTACTCCCGTAGTCCAACTTACCAACACCGGTTAATGTCCTATTAGAGCTTAGCGAAAATTTTTTTTTTGTTTCGTTTTTTTTTCTTTCAACTGTGACATTGGCAAAATCATCAGTTCTCATATTGATGGAGCAATAAAAATAAAAAGTGAAGTGAAGTGACCTGGCGTCATTCGCTTTTTTAAAGAAAAAGGTGTTATTTATCATATACTAAATATTGAAACTTGAACATATATACAGCTACGATTTATTTAAAGTATAAGAAATGACACAGGCACAATTTTCATTGTCATGGGATGCTCACAAGAAAAATATATGTTCTGGATTAAGCTCTTTGCAACAGGTAAACATATTTTGTTTTGCTTTATATTTAAATTTTAACACAATATAATCATGGTAGCCCAATTTTAAACACAAGATCTATAAGAGATAGTGTTTCGTCATCGAAGACAGCCCTATCTTAATCTCTCGTAACGTTACGGCGAACGTTAGCAGTAATTAGGATTATCTGTAAAATGTCGGTGACATATCGGGGCATTCACTAATTTTGAGAGCATGTCTGCCCCTAATGCTGAAGGCCTAAAAGGGGGCATTCATTCTCCTGCATTGCAGTGCGCCTTGCGTCCACCGCGTAATGCGGGATTATGAATGTAGTCTCAGCGTGCAAGCCGTCCTGCAATCTTGCAATGCGTGCTGCGTAACTCCATACGTGGGCCATACGCAGGATAGTGTGTGAGCAGTCTCCTGCCTGCGCAGCAGACTGCCATGCAAGTAATGAATGGGCCATTTAAGGAGCCCAAGTCTTTTCGAATTGTGTGTCTGTTCAAATTTAGTTTACAAAATAGTGACTTGAATTAATGGTAAAGGAGAATATTGTGATGAAACTTACATTTTGGAGAAGTTACATAAATACATTTCACCCCCTTTCCCCACCCGGGATAGACAGAGACCACAGCCTTACATAAATGTTCACTTCATCAAAAGGCATCAATGCTTTCACACACATTTTGATCACTCATATTATGTAAAGTATTGTATGGTGAAATTGCCAAGTTTACAGGGGAGCATTTAAAAGTTTTGAATTCACTGAAATGAGCGTAACATGCATTGACTTACAATTATATGGACGTCAGGTCCCCACTAAAAAGTGTCGGAACTTATAGGGCGTTAAAATCGTATACAGAGCGTCATTCACGCTGTAGTCTTCGTTTGTTCGACTGACAGCGAAGCAAGCAAAATTAGACAGTACTGCGATGACATTACAATTTTATCTAACGTTTTAGCTTTGTCATATTCCTTTACATGTCACTACGTTTAAATAGGTTGACTTGGGACATTTTTTTCATGGTTTTTGTATTAGACCCGTCGTCCATTTATTTGTTAGTCATAAAAAATATTTGTGAAGAGTATACATTAACCAAATAGAATATGTTTTATTACACAGAATGGAGAGTTTGTGGATATGACATTAGCGGCTGACGGTCACCTTGTTAAAGTGCACCAGGTGATAATTGCCCTCGCCAGTCCCTATCTTAAAGAACTTATTACTTCAGCAGAATGTCCACATCCTGTTATATTTCTTAATGTAAGTAGAACATATTTTTAATCATAGATTTAATAGTAAAGAATAAATAAAAATGTTTACTATTTTAAATTGATAATTTAATGACTTAATAATAGCAATGTCATGCAAATGGTTATTTATTATTATTTACAGTGATTGGAATTGGGGGAGTTAATTTACCTAAAGTATAAACATTTTCTTAGTATGGACATATCTATTTCATCATCAATGTGGATATACACAACTACTATATTATATTTTGAGACTACAATTTGTAGCAAATTGTTACCTAATAAGAATTTGTCACCAATGTACTCAAATTTCAATAAATAATATGCATATTCAAATATAATCACAATAACAATCACAGATTATTAGTGTTAATTCAGAGTTTTGTAGCACTTCATCACTGCAACCGGCAATTGATCTATATTGATAAGTACTAATTAGAAATCAGAGCAATTAGTAATCCCCTTTATCTTTTTATAACATAATTACAGAAATTCTCCTATGCTACACTATCAGCAGTGCTGGAATATATCTATACAGGAGAGGTCCTGGTCTCTATTGAAAACCTGTCTGAACTCATAGAAGCTGGCAAAGAGCTGCATATCAGAGGACTTGAAGACATGGTTTGTTATTCTTTTTATATTACTGGACTGTTTGGGTTTGAGGCAAACACTGTATTTGGTATGCAACAAGAGCCATGTTTGTTAAGAAATATAGAATCTCCAAGTAATTGTATATGGCTACGATAGATACTATACACTAGTACATCTAAAAAAATACTCAGATTTCGCATGGTACAATCAAGAGCATATTAAGCTTGACAATGGACTGTTCTCATCGTAATAGAGTTGAATTTTAAGTGTCGAGTCCTTGTACCTTGCATAAATTCACAATATTGGCTTGCTTGCTTGGCCTATGAAACTGAAGCTGCTTAGCTTATTTTGAATAGTACAATTCATTCATAATTGATAACTAGTGAAATCCTCAAAAGGACACAACAATCCTCATGGATCACATTTGTGTTACTGACATTTTAATCCAAAATCAATTGTTTATTTCCAGAAACTACATCAAGCAGTATCTTCGCATCAGAGAGATAACAATGAGTTGGTAATAAACACAAAAGAAGAATCAATTGATGATGAAATATGCTACTTTGAAATATCCGAGAAACCTATTGAAGAGAAATCTACTATTTATTCAACACATGACCCCAGGCATGTTTATTCCCAATATTTATTATTAAAAAAACCGACCTCAATACTTTGAGGAAAGTGTATGACATTGGTTAACAGAAAGTGAGTGAAGTCCAATAAACCAAATTTATCCCCTAATTTGTCATCCAAAGAGGTGGACCATTTTCTTTAAATTTGAATGGAACCACTACTAAGGGATCCCCTTTAAAACAAAAAAGAATCATCGAAATCAGTTCACAAAATGTGAGACATGGTGGTGTAACATACACTACTGAATAATATAGAAAAACTATTGAATTGAGAGCCTCCTCCTTTTTTTAAGCCAGTTAAAAACTGCCTCCGTGGCCGAACGGTTACCATGCCGGACTGCCACGCAGAGGTCCCAGGTTCGATTCCCGGGCCGGGAGAAATGTTTGTATGGCTTACATTTATTTCTCTCGTGAGTTTGGGTGTAATTTGTGGTTGTCTATGGGTGTGTCCATGGCACCCGCGACACAGGGTTTCCCTAGTGCGGGGGCTATGTTGAGTGTGTGCGTTATTTATTTATTTATTTAATTATTTCTTGGCGTAAGCTTCATAAAACTAGATCAAATATGGCATTGAACTAACTGCGACTTGTAAAATAAATTGGAAATATAACTATTTTTATTTTCGATCAAATGAACCAACATTTTGGGCCCTTTAAAGGTCCCATGTCCATGGGTTATGGCTGACTGAGATGGTAAAGTCACCAACCAAAAGTTTCATTTCCAATCGCGGAAACCTAATAACTCGATTTGTAGATAATCGAAATATCGAAAGTCAATTTGTAGATTTTTTTATGATAATGTTTACCTGGGCTCAAATTAGGGAAAACTGAAACAACAAAATTACTTCAAGGTCACTGAGCTAACCTAACCTGGAATACCCGTATCATAACCATACAAGAAAAAATAGGTTTAGTATTGTCTAGTGTCCCCAGTGTTAAATGCTGGGCCACCAAAGTCATTAACCCTGTATATCTTATTGTACTCATATAACATCATATATGTATATCAAAATTTTAATCATAAAACAACTTTGTCTTCTCAGTATGGAAGATATAACCAGAACAGAAAGCATGGACGAACACATAGACGATACATTTGAGGAAGCTATGCAGCAAGAAGAAGACATTATGCACGTAGAAGAAGTAGACAAGAACAAATCAATAAAAACTGTTGACAAACCTGCAGAGATAAGTGTAAGCAGAAAAACAGTGACAAGTCCTACTAATTTACCTAGTGAGTATTTGCCGCCATAGACATAGTTAATCGACATTATTAAAAATTTGAGTGCGTTACTCATTCTTCATTGTTGAATTGATCTTGGGAATGAACTAGGGAATGCAATACCGGGATCCCGCACCAATTTTGCGAGATTGACCCCGCACGTAAACTGAGCAAATTCCCGCGGTATTTACGGGATAGCGCACACGCAGATTAAATGCGTTGACCGGCGCGCTTGAATCTCGTAAAGAGAAACAAACTGTCAAAAAACACATAGGTGATACATAACATCAATTGGAACAAAGAGGCCTGGAGTTCCACAAACATAAACAAGTATGTACAGTGTTAGCAGCTAGATTTAATACAAATAAAAATGTACGAGATCCCGAGAGAGAGAGAGTGTGCTGTGTAATATGGTGATAAAATTTATAAAAAGAATCATCGAAATCTGTTCACAAATGTAGGTGTAATCGCGTAACACAAACGTGTGTGTACCTACATTATTATTATTATACACGAAAAAAAAACAGTCGAATTGACGACGTCATTCTTTTTTAAAGTCGGCTAAAAACAACTTTTTTTTTATTTTCTTCGTAAAAGTGCGTAAGGATAAGTCGAAAATTTCTATATTTAAGTTCTTACTTTGTTATAGAAATCCAAAGTGCGCCTAAAGCGTGCTTTATGGTGTTCCTACTGTCTATGGTACCTAGCACAATTTGCAGTTGTCAATATGGAAGTCTCTGGACAGTCTCCGGACACCAGTTGGCCTGTGTAGAACCTAGCCTTTCTGAACATGGTGAAATGAGGCTATGTCAATCTGACTCTAAACGGAACCCTCACCTATGTCTCATATGATCTCGTGCCAATTGTATCCGACCCTGTGAAGACCTGCTAAAATCAACAGATAGGAGCAAAGGCGTGGCTGCTTGCTGGGCCAAAGGCATTCAACACCGGTTTCTTATTTGAAAAAGAATATATAACCCCAGTTCAAGACCTACATTAACAAGTTACATCTTTTACAGATGTAAGCGTGATGCAGTATACAGTATCGAACCAAGGCAACCTGCAGATAATCTTGAACCGGTTCATGTACTACCTAAAACATACGAACCGCGACGGTGCACGGCAGTGGCGCTGCGTAGACTACCTCAGCCCCAGTCGGTGTCCCGCCGTTGCTATTACTAAGGACGACGTTGTTATGCAAAGGTATGTTATTTTTATTTTTATTCAATATCGTGGTTTTTTTAGTACCATTCATTCATCTACTTGTTTGTGTAAATACTCCACTAGTTTATTATGATTATTATTGATACAAATATCGAACAAACACAAACAAAACTTGCTTCAAGTGTCTGTTGCCTCAACGTGGCTGCCACTCTTACCAGCAGATGTTATGGATTGCTCTATGCGCTTGTAGCGGACTTTTGTATTGGGTTTAAAATAGAATAGAAAACCATGTATTACAAACATTATAAAAAAAATATTTACTATATAACTTAATACTATACTGACATGTGTGCGGCTGTGGCGTATGCAACAGGATCTCATTCAGCTGAAACCACAGCCGAGTATGGGCTGTGACGCTGGTTTTCAATGGATCCTAGCGAGTGAGTCACTGACGTGTGAATCGCGAAAGGAAATAAAATACTACATAAATACTTACGTTTGTGTATGTATATCGTGTTATTAATATTTGGAATGGAGAAGGATTTTGTCAGTGTCCGTTTTCTAGTTTCAAAAACATAGTGTAGGGAGAGAATACAGAAAATTTTGTTTGGTGACACAGACAGAGTATCGAAGAGATTTTTGCACAAATGGATTCCTAGAATAAAAGAGATACTTATAATAAGCATAACAAGATGTTGTACTTTGAAGTGTTAGATTTTGCTGTCGAAAAACACACTATTCGATGACGATATTGCTAATCCATTAATCAAATAATGGTAAAATATACCACCTTAATTTTTTCAAGTAATCGATTAACTATGTTGCAATGCAACATTCTACGTATGTTGCCAAGTTCTAAACGTACAATGTCTGCATATGTACCTGCAAAAGAAAACCCGCCCGGACTAAAAAAAAATAGCAATAGACATGGTATCTAAAACCATTAATTTATCAGAGAACCACTGCAATATTTTATAGTTGGGGCACGGAAGCTCCCGTCTGTTTAAGAGTTATTTATAAATGACACATTAAGAGGGAGCATGCCAAAAAAGTGTTGACGTTGGCTCCGCCCAAATTTGTAAAACAAATATATGCCTGAAGTTCGAGTGACATGCGACAGGAAATGTTGAATTTTGCGCATTAAAAGTACCAAATTCGTTTTAGCGGAATAACTCTAAAACTAAAGGGATTTAAAAAATCCGTAGTGACAGTTGTCGATCATGCATAAATATAATTAATTATCTAATGAGGATAAATCGAAAAAATGTGAAAATTAGAGGTCAAGTCGTGATTTTTATCTATCGAGGAAATTTCATTGTTTTATATTTCTGATTAATGTCTATGCTTGAATATATCGTGTAGTTACTCATACAATATTTTATTTTTAACTTAAAGTGGATATACCCCTCTAAAATCAAATCGAAGATTAGGAATTTTTCCTCTGCTCCCTCTTAAGTGAAAGAAAAATAATCTGTCTGATATCAATAACTATTACACTGAATTTATTATAATCTAGTGGCATGTTGTTTTCTGGATCACATCCTTGAGTGTTCATGGGAACAACCTAAGATATGTGTAACATACTGCAATAGATTTCTCATAGATGGCGCTACGACTAAAAAGTCGTTGAAAGACCAAGTACAAAGACACGACGCAAGCACATAGAAAAATTCGTGAGGTCCGTTGGTTCGTTCCGTGGCTTAGTTGGTATAGCGTCTGGCACGGTATGCAAGAAGACGTCGGTTCGAATCCGACCGGATCGAAGGAATATTTCTGAGTGTTCGATCTTTGTATTAATAATTATATGTGTAACATGTTCCCTCCTCTTAATCAATTCTTTACTAGAGACTTACTTGTTAACTGGTCACACATTATAGACACAGAACACGGTGATAGATTGTATTTTATTTATTATAATATTTTAGTGCTATGGAATATGTTATGAATCGGATTATTGTTTCTTTTTAACCAGGATGTCAGCTCACACGCATCAGTTTCACGACAAAAAGATCCTAAAGAAGGTGCAAGCTGGTGCGATTTTCACGGCTATACACGACGCAGAAGCCGAAGGCGCTAGTAAGAAAAACGGAAAAGCAGTTGATAATGTCAGCGAATAAAATGGTTTTACAAAATATATATCTTTCATTGGAAGTATTACTACCTTGAGAATACCAATCAATGATTATTGCACATTAAAAAAAAATACAATGGCAACACAGAACAATAGTGTTGTGCCTTAATCGAAGATTAAAACGCGAAATTATACGAATCTCGAACTAAAATACCCGTATCGGCCCGTTCTAAGGAATCCCGAGTCATTCCAAGCACGTCGCCTCAAATTGCCTATCCTCTGTGTGGGGGGGCCATATTTACAGAAAAACTTATTTTTATGTTTTCGGCTGAAGGACTTTGTTTCCATGGCCAGAAATAAATTAATTAAAAAAAAAGTGTTCCCTGTCGCGTCCAAGTTTTACTTTTTTTAATCAAATTTTTTATAATGTGTTCAATGTCGACCTTAGAATGTCGAACCCGGTGGCTTATCTACTCTGTCTGGGGGTGTCACATTGTAGTTAGAGACAACAAGTTTTAGCCCTCTTCGCCGACGGGTTACTTAGTACAACATCTAAATGTGTCCCCCCAAGCTGTCATATATCCTCTAATTGAAATTGGCTTTTATAGCCACATAATGGTCACATTCCATCAAATGTAGTATATTTTTGTGTTTGTTACAAAATTGATATAATGGAGTTTACGTTCTTTTTATTAAATGATCAAACTTATCACGTTTTTCTGTTGAATCCAGTTCATTCATTTAATTCCTACAGTTAATTTAATCGTAAATATTACTATGTTCTCCTATACTGTTTGTTTATCTCTAATATTTCGACTGAACGACTGGTGTCCATGGCCATGGTATAACTTAAAAAAAAGTTTCTGTTTTAAATTACTTTTCATATATAGAATAAGGTAATGTACACAATAGCCTTATTGCTTAGGAGCAATTTCTTACAGGCAACCTTAAGTAAGATAATCAATAAATGCAAAGCGTCGACTAAATTTGGACGAAATCCCCTTTTAATGAAAGCTTAAGTTTAATTCTAGACCCTTTTGTGATTAGAAAATAAAGGTATAATCATAGATTGCCATATAATTATTTCTAGTAATTCTGTTTTGTGTGCCTACTCAAAAGTTCACATGAATGAGAGGTACGGGGTTCACAAATTTAGCCGACGAAAAGACGTGCACCCAAAGAATATTACATAATAATATATTGTCATAAGCGTCGTTTTCTAGAACTATACTCTAAGCTCAAGTCTGGATTGCACTGGAAATACGACCCTAATGGTAGGGACTTGAGTATATTTTGAGTGCTTTAAATCATACTCAAGTTCTGACTTGAGCATTGAGTGGAGTTCTGGAATACGACCCTAAGGGTCACGACACTTAGCTCCCCGATTCTTTTTCTTTTTGGTTTTCCTCCCGTCCGCTTTTACGTTTTGACATTAGTACGTACTTACAAAATTAGTCTAGCGCCGAGCAGAATTATCATATTACTGGAGCTATAAAATTTTTAAAAAGAATATCCGCCATCTTTTGAACTAAATAGGAACTAATTCTAAAATTTTGCGACTAGAACTAGAAATTCACGACCTTTTCTGGTGCAATCGGATCTTAGCTGTGGTTCTCGAGACTGAAAATGGTGAAGCCGGAATAATTTTATTCCAACGTGGACGTTTATAATTTTAAAACGGCGTTACGACTAAATCTAGTTTTTTTACGACTAGAACCGAGTAAATGACGACGTTTTACCTGACTAATCAAATTTCAAAATTACCATGGTCACACAGGAATGAGGGCGCCACTTTTTTCTGGAATAGAATGTAACGTATAGAAACATTGACCTTTTGATATAGAAAGAAATAAATACTATTTTCTAGGGGCTAGACTTTTGAGTGGCGAAGGAAAGTTTACCACCAACATGATAAAATATACATAAAGCCATTATGTGTCTGTTAGGAATGAAGATTATATATTTTTATTCCACCCTTGATGCTTAAAAAACTTGATTCCATATATCTAAACATAAATAGTTATTCTATTACCTATATAATTCAATTAAAACCAGCTGACAAAACACATTTTGTTTTACAAACAAGTTTTGTAAAGTCACTATAAAGTTATTTGTTCTATGAGGTTTGAAACCGCAAGGAAGTAACCTATTTTGATACGATATCACGCCTACTCCTACTGGGGTAAACAGACTATAAAGCGCAGGCCACACCGCGGGCGAAGCTAAATTAAGTTAGTTTAGCTCACGTAGCTGCATGCGACCTTAGCTTGGGTAGTTTAGTTCGTGGTGTGAACAGATGTATGAAAATATGTCGCAGCTACGTGAGCTAAAGCTAACTAAGCTTAGCTTCGCTCGCGGTGTGGCCTGCGCTTGACCCTACTGTCATGAAATACCTCTCGTTTCCTTCTTAGCGTATTGATGGCATACACTATTATCGCGGCCCAGAATTTAGGGTCCCTAGAGTTAATAGAAGCGCGGCAGTGGGTCACTGTTTGGTACTTTTGACCAGCCATTTTCAAGGACATCCTCAGTCTAATTGAAAAAGGTACGCCGACGTCAACCTTTCCTCACGTTCGCTTTATAAATCTGTCATTGTACTTATTATACCTACATACATTCCATATGACCAAATCATCAAACCAAAAGCATTCCTGGTTTCTGTTACCACATCGTCTTTCACAGTTATATTTCTCATTTTATTTCTGAAGCTCAATTTACAGTGCCTGCGGAATGGAATGGAAGAGAATTTTTGGAACGACATTGTACATAATATAACTTTATGCCAAAATTGTGTAACGTGCAAACTTTGTGCAAACTATTACTCTAGCCAAAGTCGATGAAGAATAAATGTCAACAGAAATATGATTTCTAGAGTTTAACGACTGTTTGTCAATAATGAATTATACTGTGATGCGATTTTTCAGCAGCTAGTATTGTAAACTGTTGTCAGATAACCTGTTATTCCGCTGTAAATAATTTTTATTTTTAGGGCTTGGACTGTTGGTACAGGCGCCAAAGACCCACAAACTTCCAAATTGAAGCAGAAATTTAACGCTGCCTCCAGGTTCTGCAAAAGGGAAATTGCCGCTGCAAAGTTTGCGCACACTCGCAAAATTGGCGAAAAATTACTTGGCCATGTGTAGTAAACAACCAGCTCTTAGATTACCTCGAGGATCGCCAACTTATTAACGACCGCCAGTACGGCTTTCGCCGCGGTCGTGGTGCTGGTGATCTTCTTGTATATATCGCGCATCAATGAGCAAGTCCCATCGAAAGCAAGGGGGAAGCAATGGCCGTGAGCTTAGACATCGCTAAGGTTTTTGATCGGGTCTGGCACAAGGCACTTCTATCGAAGCTACCATCTTACGGGCTTCCAAAAGGGCTGTGCACTTGGATCGCCAGCTTCCTGTCTGAGCGGACCATAAAAGTCGCTGTCGACGGATTGTGCTCGGACACCATGCTCATCAACGCTGGCAAGGATCTATGCTATCATCAACTCTGTTCATCCTGCATGTCAATGATATGTTATTAACTAGTAACATTCATTGCTATGCGGATGACAGTACCGGTGATGCCTATTATACAGGTCGCACAGTCCCTTGCAAAACCCCGCAAAGTCACAAGTGTGCGCGTTTACCGCTAAAAATCCCCATTCGTAATAGCGCCAAAATTCCAGAACACTGCCCTTACCATCTCAAAGAGTATTGGGGTACTTGGAGTCGACATCACGAGCGAAGTCCAGTTGCGGAGTCATTTGGAGAGCAAAGTCAAACTGGCTTCAAAAAAGCTCGGAGTGCTTAATAGAGCGAAGCAGTGCTTCTCTCCAGGTCACCGACTTTTGTTATATAAAACACACGTACGGCACCATATGGCGTATTGCTCGCATCTCTGGGCAGGAACTCCCAAATACCAGCTTGATCCACTTGATTCTATCCAACGTAGGGCGGTTCGTATTATCGATGATCCCAAACTTATAGACGGTATGGAGCCCCTTAGCTTACGGAGAGACCTTGGCTCTCTGTGTATGTTCTACCGTCTTTATAATGGGGAATGCTCTGAGAAACTTTTCGAACTGGTGCCACCGTCCTGTTTCTACCATTGCACCTCCCCGCTAACGGAGTAGAGTCCATCCCCACATCTTAGATGCCTGGCATTGTAAGACCACACCAGGTATCCCGTTCGTTTCTTCCTCGAACCTGCAAGGTGTGGAATGATCTTCCTCCTGAAGTGTTCCCTTTGCGCTATGACATGGGGTTCTTCAAAAAGCGTGTTTACAGGGCTCTCAAAGGCTGGCAACGCATAGGCAACTCATCTGATGTTGCAATGTCCATGGGCGACGATGACCACCTCCCATCAAGTGGCTCATCGGCTCGTTTGCCCCCTTCTTTACATAAAAAGAAAAAAAAGGCAATTTTCATAACTTTTGAGGAAATTCAAACTACTCAAGGAATTCTCCTTAAAAATGAAGAGTGCAGCCTGTTTTTAGGAACAATTGACATAAAGTTCATAGTGCTATCTACAATTTCGTTACAAAAAATAGCTTCCTTTCCATTCCGCAGCAATGCAAATTGAGCCTAACACTATTTTCATGCTTTTTCTGCCATACCGAAACACTAGGGTTAGGACACATCCCATATAAACAATTTTATTTAATAAAAAATAAATTTATTACACACATTAACATGAATAAAAACATCATACAAAAACATTGTACAAAATACGTATGTCAGTTGTATTATATCACAATAAATATGAGCAAGTTATTACAACAAGGCACTTGATTAGAATATTATGCATCAGACTTGGTTATTTTTATTCTTAATAACATGTCTAGGCAGACAGACAGTCAGCTTGATCACGCTGAACTTCCTTGCTTCCATTTCAAAGCAGCACCACCCCAGCTACCTCGTTACTCACTATGCGCATATCTGATGGCTGTTTATACCTATTAATAGACGAAATAATTAACTAAGCTTTTACTCAAATTTAACTTAATTTATTCGTGTAAACAATTACTTAACAGCTGTTAAGTAATCATCGATTTAGTGGATTTGTAGATTAGAATCAACCCTATTTCAAAGGAGGAGGTTCTCAATTCGACTGTATGTTTATTTTTCGTATGTATGTTACGCGATAACTCCGCCATTTTGTGAACCGATTTTAATGATTCTTTTTTTGTTGGAAAGAGGGTACCTCAAAACCACTTTTGTCCCATTTAAATTTGAAGAAAATACCCGTAAGGGTGATATACTAGGGGATGAATGACTTTTGAGGTCGGTTTTTTTAGTGCTCTGTACTGAAATTAGGTAATTGATGAAGTAGTCTTCCCTTCCGCACCCTGCGCGTTCACCGGTAGGCGAGACTTTACCAAATTGCATTTCAGCAAATGTTGGCTACACACCTATTTAGTTACAGATACCTACGTTTGAAACATTTGGCGGTCTAAGATTTTGTTTTGTTTGCAATTTCAAAATGCTATTTTTGTTCCATTTTGATATAAACATGAGTGTACTTATAGTTTCACTATGTTTAGTGATGTAAACACTAGGCCACATAAAATTAAATTAAAGCTTAGGTAGTTAATTACATCGTGACTTAACAGGTGCAAGCAAACCAAAGTAAGCAGTTGTTTTAAAATGATCAAAGTGGGCACATTTCGGAGCGAGGCTTTAGCTCTCCTCTTTTTCAGTGTATGTAATTCCCTGCGACCCATATTAATATTATATATTATGGGAATGTATTATGGAATGTCGTTAATTCATACAAAAGCGCTTATAGAATCACAATAAAATATTCTTATATTGAATAAGTAAAATATTGTCATCGATTTAACTCTTAGAAACTAATTTACTGTTGAGATTCATTAATATAAAAATATATATTTCAACATTATGCCTCTATTATTAAAATACGCGAGAACAAGTCACTTTAAAAAAAAAAACAAATAAAATATACCACATTCCCCTCACCACCTGCCATATCGGACATTTTTATCACAGCATAAGGCTCGATTACATTGAACGAGTTTACAAGCAGGCGAGTCAGCTAATGAGATAGTGATGACACACAAATATTTGCACTCAGTAGCCATCTAGTCATAGACATTTCGAAGACACTAACACACTACAACTATGACGATATATGGCTAGTTACAGTTAGTTTAGTAGCGAGTAAAGCAGCCCGGCTTTCAACATTCTCGCAGGTTTGCACCCTGTGTGTGAGTGAAGCTACAGCAGTTTTGAGCATGAGATAAATGCGATCTTGCTGTTCGAAATTGCTGTGAGCCGCTCCGGTGTGTAACAGTACCATTTTGAGATTTAATTAAACAAATAACTATCGTGAATTAACTCACAACAACTCTAACTTAATTTGTATACAGGTATTATAGTGTGAGTGTCTACAGATTATTTACAATCTGCTAGTTAGCTAGTGAATATGATTACACTAGGCGAGCTAAAAAATTTGCTGATTAGTAGCTAGTAAACTTGCTCAATGTAATCGAGCCTCATCGAGTATATAACCAGAAATAGAGACGAAATAAGGGCCTTCTATCCCTGGCAACTCATCAGGCAAATGGGCCTTATATCACTTTTAAATATCAACTCGCGTTTGCGCTCAAATCACAAATTGGAAAGCGGAAATAGTAAACCGCCAACAACCGAGTCTCCGTATATTCGAAAAATATTCTGTATTTATTGTAATAAAGATAATAATATCTCTAACTATGGTGAACTGTTCCATTCGGCGGTGTGGGAAAACAGTAAAACATCTAATTACAAAACAAACGGAATCACATTTCATCGGTAACTAAATATTAAATGTGAAATTTTTCAATTTTCTTCCATTATAGCAAAGCTCAAGTTAAACTGGTCTATTTGAAGTAAAAACAATTGACGACACCCGACACATTGCGCAGTTGTCATCGTAATGATTCGGTAGAATAATTTTCAAACAAATTAAATAACATTTCGTCTCTCTCTCTGGTTATATACTCGATGTCGAGCCTTTACGACATTACTCTGTTTTAAAAAAGTGAACATTCTATGTCTACTTTTTTATATGACAATATAATTCTTATAATAAATCTACATCTAAAGATGTAAAGTGGTAAACCAAAAATGTTGCCATTAAAAATTATCGGTTACGACAACTGGTTGGGAAAAGGACAATAATATGCAAATTACATTATAAGTACCAAGTTGAAAACTTAAGTGAGCTGGTACTTTACGAATGTGGGTAGTACAAAAGCAGCTTTATGAATATCGGTGTTATAGTACCTTAGATTCATCGCTTTCTCGTCTTCACAAGTGAAGACATGTGCGGGAGTATCAAACTTAATTTCTTTATCAAGCGAACCTATGACAAATCCAATTTGGCCTGAGGGATAGGTAGGTACAGACGCATAAGCGTAAGCGGCTTGAGGGAATTGGTTCCTGCAGTACTGTAAGGTGCTGGAGACTAATTCGATGTCGTTCCAGATTGTACCAGCTTGGGAGCACACGATACCGTTCGGTTTTAAAGCACTTTTCATCAGAGAAAAGTAGTTTTCTTGGAAGAGGCTGACCGCTGGGCCGACGGGGTCGCTGCTGTCTGTAATTATGACGTCAAATTCCTGGCTATGATTCTTCATGAACTCGAAACCGTCGCCCACGTGAAGTGTCAGTTTAGGACTCTCAAAGCCGACGGCCATGAACGGTAGATACTTTTTGGAAACTTCGATTACTTTTGCGTCGATTTCGACCTGAAAAATTAAAACAACACTTCACCATAAGGCTGCCAGGAAGAGATTGCTATCAAACTAAAAGAGTCGCTTCTAATTGCCGCAGCCAGGCGACGCGACGCTGCGATGCTTTGAAACAGCAGTGCAACATAAACTTTATCTTTTACATGATAAGGTTATATTTCTTTAAAGAAAAAAAAGGCCAGAACTTTGCAAACGGAAATATATATAGAACATGTATTATTATCTACTAAATAAGGTATACATTTAGTAGTCGACGTTTGTGCCGTCAAAGGCTATGCAGTGTGTAACTTAGTTTTTCAACAATAAGCATTGACTTACAAATAAATGGACGACGGGTCTAATACAAAAACCAC